AACGAATGAAGAGCTGAACTTTGTTTTGTGTGAATTTCAGCTCCTTCATCATCGCCTGTCATCTTCGTCCTGAGGAGTCTGCCCTTCATTCTCCTTGTTCTGATCTTCTGCTGCTTTAGAAACAAGTGGACCACATCACAGCGTCGCAGGTCACTACAGCACATCTGAACCTGACTCTGTTACACTTCATGTTTTGTGCTTCTTGTAGTTTGTCGGTGTGAGTTGGTGTTTGTTGGCGCATCGCTTTGGTCCAGACTGAAGTACCAACGATGGGATTTTATATTCATGCTCCTCAGAGGATAACCCCGTCCCTGAGGTTTGGGGGGTTTAGTGACGACTACAACTTTTACTACTGATAACTACGGATTATGTTCCCAATGAGATCGTCTGAAACGTTTCTTCATAGAGAAATGTTTCACTAAATGTCTTGAAGGTACCATCAAACTTTATCATGTTTAAAGCTAATTACTAAAGACAAGACAGATGTTACCAAGGTAACAGGCTAGCTTAAGGTGGCTAACAGTCATATGTTGTATCACTGCAAGGTCTTTACCTTACAATACAGAAAGCACCGTGTCCATCTTTTATACGCTCTTATGGTGAAAAATTAATTTGGTTTAAAATGATTAACGCTAATGTAAAAAAAACTGAAAAAAGCTGCACTGTGTCAGGAGTGATGTGCAGACTCAGCGATGCGCAGAGTGATGCAGACAGCAGCAGGAAAAGACCTTAACAGAAAACGAGTGATTCATTTAGATGGATGCAAAAGTGCAAAAACACAAAATACTGAACGATACACCGAAGAAAAAACACTGGCACCACCGAAACACTGAGACACAAGGACAGCTGCACCAATGCTCTGATGAGGGACAGAGAGAAACACAGCCAGTATACTGAAGGGTGATCAGGGAAGTGGAGACACACGGGAACACAGCTGAACCGATTAAGAGACAAAGGAAGTAACATTTAAGACACTGCACAAGGAGCACGAGCTCACCAAAGTAAAACAGGAAGCAGCAGGACACAAAGAGCAGGAGTAAAGCCCGACACACATCACAGAGTAAACAGTCACGACTGGACTGTGGAAAGAAGGAAACACAGCAGAGAGTCAGAGGAAACAGGATGGATGAACTAATATGAAGAGTCTATAGAAGGAAGTGACGCACGGGGGCGTTAAAATACGTGTTTGCATTGTTCTGTGTCAGCTGTGGTGAAGTTATTTCAACAGAACATGTTGTCACAGCATCATCAGTTATAATCTTGTAAAATTACAAACGCGTGCATCACTGTGAACATGCAAAGTGTAACTCATGTTTCATGTTTCAGCTGCTGGAAGTGAAAGCATGTCTGCCCAGAGAGGAGACCAAGAAGAAGAAGAAGTGAGAGAAGAAAAGTGGAAACACTGTAGAAACTTGTTCGGTGTTTTTGGTTTTAAATTTATGTGATGATTCCAAAAACTCTGTTGATTAAAAATGACTGATTGTCTCATTTAATGAATAAATTAATACTCCTCTGGGTTACCATAGTAACATGACCAGCACAGATGCTGGAGCAGCAGGATCAGACCACCGACCTTTCTGTTGTCAGGTGACCTGCTCCCTCCTGAGCCCCACTTCTCATGACCAACGACTCACTTTTCCCTTTCTGTTATTCTCACTGACACTTGAGGATTCATCATGTTTGATCAGGTTTTCTTATCACGTCTCTGTTCTGTGTTGAACAGATTACACAACACTGACACAATGTTGTGGGTCTGTGCAAACAGTGTTTCTGTGATGACTGCAGCTCACTGTCCCGATCGTTCCCTCTGTTACCCTCCTCCCTGTTAAACATGTTAGCATGACCTTTGCTCCAGTTATCACCGGGTCCCATCATGCTCTGCAGCTCTGTGGGTCAAACTGAAAACACTTGTAGGTGTTGTTTCCTGAGCTCTGCTATTCTGCAGCCACAGGATGTGCCAGGCTCAGGGAGGGGCAGCCATGTGACCAGTTCGGCTGAGAGAAAGAAGACATCAAAACGTGCTGTGGAAGAGCCAGATATGAATAATAACTAATGATTAAACACGTGTATTAACACATAGTGAGTGAAGAAGAAACACCCAGTGCATCATGGGAGTCCCCCAGCAGCCTACTGGGTGGTTGTTACATGTACAAGATTCAAACTTGTAATTTGAACTAAATAATTTCATGTTTCTATGGTGAACATAATTAAATCATGTAGCATCTGCATGAAACTCAGCAACTTCATTTGTTCTTGTTGAGATGACAGGATACAATCTAGTCAGAGTGGTTCGTTGCTGGACTCACAAAGTTCACAAGATCACTAAGATGTCAAACTGCAGGAAAATCGCTGGAGTTTTAAGACGCAGACAAGTTCACACCCACATCATGTGTTTGCTGTTTATTGTGGTTTAACCTGTCAAGGACAAAAACATACAGAAAATGCTGCATCAATCACAGCTTTCCTGGTTGTGTTAAGCCTGGCGTGACAGCTTGGTGGTGTGATGGTTGGTGCTGGTGCCTCACAGCAAGAAGGGCCTGGGTTCAAATCCACAGTCTGGCTGGTTTGCAGTGTGTAATTAGAGTTATTGGTGATTCTAAGTTACCCATGAATGTAAGTGCAAATGGTTGTTTGTCTCTATGAAATCATCAACCCCCACATTGGTTCATTAAGCAACACTAGCACTAATCGCCTTGATTAACAAAGTAGTTGTTCAAACAACAGGATTTCATTGAGTTCTGCTGAAGCTTTTAACTTGTGTTGAATGAATTAAAACGTTCACTCTACATACTTAAATAAATCACTTCAAGTCAATGTAAGTATACTACATTGATCCAAGGTAATCTGATTACATCAAACCACCAAATGCCAAATGTGTTGGTTTGACATGGTTAAAAATGGTTTATTGTACTTGGTTAAATCATGTATGGGTTAGGGTTAGGGTGCCGTGACCTTTGAACTGGCGCCACATGCAGCTGTGCAGGTTAGCATCATGCTGGTCCACTCTCCCAGCCAGCTGTTGGCGGTAATGCAGCACCAACTGCTTTTGTGGAGGATGTTTTATGCGTCACAGAGGAGAGGACATTTACTCAGCAACAAAAGAAATGTTAACTGAGATCAATCTGACAAACGTTGTCTCCACTGATGGGTCAAAGGAGCAGTTACTCGACTAAAAGAGGACAACCCGGACCTGCTATCACATCACTGTGTTATCTATGCTCCTCACTCTGAGGGATACAGAGAGGCCATGAATACCGTCGCTGAACTTACCTTTCTCTGCTTCTTCATCTCATCAGCATCACCTGCTTCGTATTTTAGCACAGGTGAACGACTTACTCCTACACAGCAATGTCAGGTAACTAAGTGCTGGGGCTACGTCCAGTGGTGGTCAAGTTACATGAAAAAAGTAATTAGTTGGTAATTACTGATTACTTCTCCAAAAAAAGTAATCCCATTACTTTACTGATTACTTATTTTTCAAAAGTAATTAGTTACTTAGTTACTTTTTAAAACCATGGTACACAACCTGAATATGTAATAAAGCAATAAACCTTTCAGCCCAAATCTATTTTATGCATAATCCATCATATAAAACTGAATCGAGCAGGAAGAAAGCGCGATCACACTGCTGTCGGGAACTCCACAGCGTATCCTTTACTACACCTTCGCTCATCAACCATACAAGGTCCAGTTCAACGACTGCTGCTTATCAAACACGACGCAGTGTTCACACAACCCGTAAGGTTGCAGAAGTTTACTAAAGAGGTAAAACATGTAAAGCCCACAAAGTCACGAGGCCATCTGCTCCTGCAGTTTCTGGAGGATCAGACCAACATTGTTGCTGACATCACACCTCAGTGATTTCCATTTGTGATTATCATGAAAGAACAGCTCTGTGTGTGATAACAGCTGTCCAGAGAAAACTTGACATTTTAAAACAGCATCTTCAGCAGGACGGTGCACGTTTCCCCTCAGGGAAAGAAATCCAGGGTGCTAACATCACCTCACATGCTGCATTTGCACAAAAACTGACGGAAAACTTTAAGGATCACTTTGATGGCTTCGCTTTGGAAACTCAGCTCCACCTTTTCATGAAGAATCCCTTTCTGTTGAAGAATATCCCTGCATTCTTACAGGAGGATGTGCATGTCTGTAAATGGGTGGATGTAGGTTCTCTGCAAATGGGACTTGTGTATTTCCAAGCTGATATACAGGAGCAATGTGCAGCGTCTGATCCTGCTGCCTTCTGGATGCAGACTGTGCCAAAGACTACGTTTCCAGGACTTACCAAAGTTGCTGTTGCCTTAACCATGTTTTGATCCACATGCAGTCGTGAATCAGTCTTCTCAACTGTTAGCATGATTAAAAACAACTGAGTAATGAACATTTGCATACATGCTTACGAGCTGCATGGACCCCGTTTCACCCAGACTTGACTGACCTCAGTGAGAGGCAGCACTGTGCTTTAAGTTACACTGTGATGAGTTTGTCAAACCTTTTTTCTGCACTTCTTCATTTTCCTGAATGTTGAGGATTTTGTTAGGAGACTCTGTTGCGCCATAATGTTCGTTTATATAGATGCTGCAAAGATTATTGGATAATTTCAGTGTTAAACAGTTTTTGTTTAATATCGGTGGTTGAACTGCACTGCACTGGTTGAACTTTCTATTCAGCAGGTGATTTAATGGGCAATGAACAAAGAATAATTGATCCGTAGTTACAAGAAAAAATCTGTTAAATGTCGAACTGACTTTTACACTAAAGTGCAAAACTCTGAGCTGTTTGTCTGGAGTCTGCAGCTTCTCTGCTGCTCTCGTCTAAAACAGCAGCAGCGCCGCCACAGCGCCATCTAGTGGTGGTTTCACCAAAATTAAGTGTCACGTCTTTGCTGTTCTTCGGGTTCAGGGGATCAAACCTGTAAAAGTCCTGTTTCACGATCACCTGCTTTGTTTTTCATCTTTATGGTTAATATTTATCGTAGTTTTTGCTGCACTACATCACAACGTTTCCAAAGATGAGCTTCAGAGAGTCCGCGACAGAAGTTTGTTGATATTATATTTAGAACAATTTCAGCGCATTTACTAAGTAAAGTTTTTATAAAGTATTTTTACACTTTGACATAACAAAGCACCGTGCAAAGAAATAAAAGCTCAGAATAATCACAGCAAACGATCAAATATGAAAATGCAATTGATCGCAATACAAACTGAGCTTAAACACACAAGACAAGAATGAAAGAACAGAAGGTAAAAAGAAAGAAAGTTATAATCAGTAAGAATTTCAACAGGAAGTCTCGTTAAACAGAAACATTTTCAAGTCCACAGCTTTGGTGCCTGAAACACTCTGAACGCCGCAGGCCGTGGAAGCGCGCAGGCGTGGAAGCGCGCAGGCGTGGAAGCGCAGGCGTGGACGTCAGGCACATTTTATATTCTGCTCTAACTGTGCTGCTGCTTTTGTTCTCATCGTGCATTCGTCTTAATACATTTTCATAAAACAGAAAGTTTCATTGCATTCAGAATAAAGCGTTATCCTTTCAGCACCACGGACAGCGCATCAGCTCCACGCTCTGTGACCACATCAGTCACTCACAGCTTTGTCTTCACTGTTAAGCTGAATCACAACCTCCAGCTTTCTTGTTCAGAGCCACGTGAAAAGTGAAAAGCACAAAGCTGATGTAGAGTGAAATATTCTGCTGGGCTTTTGTACACTGTCATCCATGTAGTGCTTTACATAAGCACGAGAATGTTTAAATGAATATATATTTAGGAGAGTATAAAATATTAGCCGGAAAAGGGTGGAGTGCCCACTCCGGGTCCGGGATGAGTTCCTGCCCCAAGTGGAGGAGTTCAAGTATCTCGGGGTCTTG